TAATGTGAGTTGGCATGAAAAAAAAATCCACATCAACACGTTTTCAATTTGTTTTTGCCACGTCATCAAAAAAATTATAAAAAATGCCACATAAGTGAGTTAACAATCGAAATTAACAGAAGGATTAACAGAGTGCATTTCGTATAGCTAAGGGATCAAAAAAGTGCAAAAAATTATTGAGGGACCAAAAATGTTCATTTCATAAAGTTGAGGGACCAAATTAAGCATTTAACCTTTATATTTTTTAATTATTCAACTTTAAAAACTACATAATTATGATATGTCCTAATCTCTCTCTCAATTAGGAAAATTAACTAAATCCATGTGACATTTTTATTTGTTTTAGATGATGTGGTAATGATATGTTGGCAAGTCAACTTCCAACTCATCTAATAATTAGACAAATAAAAATTAGATGCTCCCAAAAATATGTGAGTGGGTCCCACACATTATTTTCCATGAATAATTAAACAACATAATAATATATTATTGTTAAAAAACAAATTTAATAAACTAAAAAAAAAGTAAATTTCCCTTTGTAGAACTTCAAGCGATTTTTGGAAGAATTGAAAGATTGGTTGCACAACTTGATTCCTCTTCAACTTCTCAAGGATCTCAAATTTATGGGAATTCATCTTCAAATACAAGTATGGGGCCACTTACTTCCAAAATTGCCAAGGTAGAATTTCCCAAATTCAATGGTGATGAATTGAAAGATTGGTTGTATAAATGTAATCAATATTTTAGAATTGATGATACTCCTGATGAACATAAAGCTCATTTGGCTTCAATAAATCTTGAGGGAAAGGGTATGAAGTGGCATCAATCTTTTTTAGAGATTAAGGGAGAGCAAGTGCTTTCAAATAGGGAGGAATATGTTGAGGGCTTTAAGGCTAGATTTGGTGAGAAGGCTTATGAGGATCCCATGTCTAATTTTCTCCAACAACGATTACACCAAAAAATAAAAATTCAATCTCAATTCATGAACTTAGTCACCATAGTCATCTAGAGAACTCAAATGCAATCAACAACATCAATAAAAAAAACAACAAACGAGATGGGAATTATAATATGGGTTCAAGGAAACCCACATTTGGGTTCTTTTGAACCTATAGTTGGGTTTGTTGGAACCTAAATTGGGTTTCCTTCAAACCTAGCAACAGGTTTGAGGGAACCCTCATTATTGGGTTCGTTACAACCCAGATCTTGGTTCCTTCGAACCTAGCAAAGGGTCTGTTGGAACCCAACACATTCCTTCAAACCCAGTGATGGTTTTGTTGGAATGTGATATGTAGAAAAACTTAGAAGTCCATGCAGGTGGCATAGGCGGATGGCATATCAATTACTGTTGGTTTGTGTCAGTTAATATGCTAGTATAAACGTGTTTTGTATGTCTTTGTTGGGTGTTCAGTTATTTGGTGTTCTTCAATCTTCTTAAACTCCTCTATAATTCTCTTACATTCCAGACTATATTGCAAAGGATATATGTCGAAGATCCTTTCTGTTTTGTGGATTTTCCTTGTATTCCTTTAAATTCTATTTACTGGTATCATTTGGTATCAAAGCAAGTTCCTGGCATCATGGAAACTCACTTACAAGAACAGAAGAAACTGATTGATGATGTTGTTAAAACAGCGATGGCTAAGATGGGCGAACATTATGAACAACTACTTAAGGCCATGGAGGAAAAGTATGAAAACCAAGTGTCAGATTTGAGAACTCGAATGTCAGGTCTGAATGTGCACCAAAATCAGATCATGGCACAACTTGATACCTCTTCAACTTCTCGAGGATCTCAAATTTATGGGAATTCATCTTCAAATACAGGTATGGGGCCACT